ATTGTTTAAGTTTCATTAGATAGACTTTTATATATGGTTTTTTGTAAGTTTGAGTTTTGTTCATAAATGATGTGGCATTTTTATCTACGGCGTCATCGACTGTGGGAATCCATTCGTCGGAGTCTGGAATCGGTGGTGAGGAATGTTTTCAAGGAAATTATAGTAGTTATTAAAACGTAAGAGAAATTATATATTCATTTAATAATAACAAAAATAATTAATTTTGTTGTTTTATTTTATTTTATCTCACATACAATTTTTAAAAAAATATATATTAGGAAATATGTGCAATGATTTAACTTTTTGAGCTCCTAATCTATATTATTCAACCCTCATTAAGCCATCCACGTATGCACCCGCGTGGTATTCACTTTTTTTTTGTTTTTTTTTTGTCTGTTCGTTTTTGGATTTATTTTTTATTATTTTTGGGTTGAGCTATATTATAATAGGATAGTTTTAACCGCGTAGGCAACCACGTGAGATTTGTTTTTTTTTGTTTTTTGTTTTATTATTCGTTTTGGATTCATTTTTAACTATTTTGGGTTTGAACTTATTAAGGTTTAGGGTTTATACAACTATTTGATCTTTAAAACAATAAGCCCAAAAAAACATAAGAACCTTATAAACAAAAAGCTCATATGATAATAACCTAAATAAAAAAAAAAATCAAAAATACATGATAGCTGCGTGGTTTGAACTCACAATCTTGCATACTTAATTAGACACTTTATACCACTTGGCTAAAGTGTATTTCATTGTTTGTAACCATCTTACCAAGACTATGTGTGTTTAAAAAATATTTTTATGATGATGACATTAATTGATTTATGCATGAGAGCAGTGGGAATTGAACCCGTGTCCGTGGAGACCAAACATGGGGTCTTAGACCACTTGACTAAACTGATATTCGTTGTTTATAATCATTTTAAAACAACTATCTATTTTAATTTAAAAATGTGGGACCCACAATCTGCCTATGTGGACACCTTAAGGAGTTTTTAAACTGAATCATTATAATATAGATTAGTCGGCGTTAGTGTTACGTTTGTTTGATTTTTTATATAAAAACATCTCCTAGATGACAAAGCTGCTTAGGGAATTCTATTAGTTTCTAATGTTTTTTTTAGATATTATAGTTTATGTTGACGTATAAATTTTCTAATAATCGTTGAATCAAACCCCTATGATTAACAATATGAGACTGATAAAATCGTGTGTGTTTGGGTTGATATAAAATAAATGGTTCAACCAACACAAAAATTGGTTAGAGAGGGTCAACAATGGGTTTTGTTGCTATTTGCCTCAGCCATTTACGCGCTTACACAAACCTCTTTTCATATATAAACACAAAAGAGTAGTTCACATTATTTGGTTGTTGTGAACTATAACATGTTGGATTAAAAATAATTGTAAATTTTGTTCAAGAATATTGTGTACCGTGCTATTTATATTGTTTTATTGAATTCTACACATATAAAAGTATACATTAACATAATCATTTGTATTAGGCGTTTTCTTATCCAAACTTTAGAATGTTCCATCACAACACATCAACAACCCAACTCTTTGGGCTTTATAGGCTATCAAATAAAAAGTGTAAGTTTTAGGCCTGTTCAAAATTTAAAGATGGCCGTGTTATAATTCAATTCTTTTTTTTTTTTTATCAAGGCCGTGTTATAATTCAATTCATATAATTATACTTTGCAAAATATAACCTTCATAAGAATCGGTTAAAAACTATTAATTAAAAATCGATTTTAGTGAATTTCCTACATTTTCTGCGAACTCCACTAGCACATGCTTTTTAATTTATTTATTTTAGACAAAAAAAACCTAAGAAACCCATGGGATAAACATGGTTTAAACCTTATTTTGGATGAGAAATATATTTGAATTTGTGAAGAAAAGAAGTAAATTGCTGTCAAAAAAAAAAAAAAAAAACATAAACATATAATTCAGTTTGAGACTCAATTATCAGACCATAGCTTATACAATTCCTCCATGTGTGGCATCTCCTTGAAAAACCTATCAAACTCCGTCGTCGTCCCCACTCCTCCTCCACCTTCGTAGGGACGTTTGGTATCTTCACCGATTCTATTACCTCCATCTGTCTCAACGTACTGTGTGTTAATGAACACAACTTTCATTGGTTCAGACTTCATCTTTCCTCTTTCAGACATTACTAAATCGATCAATTTACAACAAAAAACAAAAAAAAATAAAATCTGAGAGTTCTTAGTGTTGATGACGATGAAGATCAATGAAGTTTTAGCTATTCATAAGTTTGTAATTTTATATGCCTACTTGTGTGTATATATATAGAGAGAATTGTGAATCATAATCATATGACATATCTATCATCGTGGGGCACTGAAGTGAGTCAATTTTTCAAAACACAATTTTTTTATTATTCGGTTCTACATGAAATATAAATGAAAGGAATAATTATTAATTTCACCATGACTGATATGTCATTTTATTTTTATGGTCGATGAATTTCCTAATTATTTTATTGGTCGAACGATGATTGATATATGGTTTTATGACTTTATCTAGTTCTAGAAATGCTTACCTATGAAATTGCAAATTAAGGTCTTTCTGAATATATGGACCTTTAGTTTCTATGCGACTATGATTATTTGTTATGAAATGACAGATACAATTTTTCTGTTCGATTTGAACAGCCACACACACAGCAGAAAAATGTGCATATAAGCATAACTTTTTGGAAAAATTGTGTTTATAACTTAATCGGTTCAAAAAAAGTTGTGGCCTAACTAACTCTTGATTAGTATTAAAAATTTAAAACATTAACTATTTCATTACAAAATTAAACAAAATTGTTCGACAACTACGGATATCAATCATAATCACATCGGCTTTCAGTTATGCAAAAACACAAACTCTTTGATCGTCGAGACATATTGACCGTTAACATAACTCAGCAGCCTTCACGGACCGAATATTAAATTTCATATCACTATTATTACTATCTGAAAATATTTTCTTCAGAAAATCATATTACATTCTTTAGTCGGTCAAAGCACACCTTCTTTGATGCAACCATTACCATATCACATCACGTATGCAGCCTATGAAAGAAATGTAAAATCTTAGAAAGTATTTACACGTGTGTAGAATTTGCACGTTCGAAACACTAATTCGCCAAAACAAATTAAATTTTTCATTGATTAATTATGCTTCTAGAATATTACCGTAATGCTTTTTTGAGGTGATAAAAACTAATTATGTGTCTCAGTGATTTTACCTTTTTTTAATATCCATTTAATTTTACCGTTTTGGAACAAGAGAAAATAGTATATGAAACATAACATAATAAGCTGAAAATTAATGCATAATTTACTGGTTCGAAATCATCCAAATTATTATGAGACCACTTTTGATTATATGCATAGCGGATCTCGAGTTTATCAATTCATAACTCGATAACCATACTTTTAGATACCTTTGTAACAGAGATTAGAAATTCTACGATGAGACAGGAAGTCAAGGATAAGTTACATACGATGTTTCATGGAGAGTTTCAAGGGGTCCCGTCTTCCATCCACTAATGCCATATTATTTTTTTACTCATATTCATTCGCCAAATTATTTTCGCAAAATGTAAATTTGTTACCGGTGTACGGTTTGTACCTTCGCGATGACGCTAATTACGTGTAATTATAGTCATGCAAAAAAGTAAACTTAGATAACATATTCCTTTTTTTTTCATTTTTCTTTCCAATTAAAATATATGGTATCATGGTTTCAGGTCATTAATCGTTCAATTATAATTTCGATGAAAAATCACTATTACAGTTCTGATATCATAATATTCGTAATATATTTTCTGCAACACATGAACATCAGAACATACAAAGGCAAAGTCAAGATTGGCTATAACATATCAGAGTAGAATTTGACTAAAAATCTTGACTTATCTGCAACGTTTTTCTTTTTGATTTGATAGCCCTTTTACGAATTTATTAAATAATTTGATAACTATGACAAAATTTTAATAAACTTTAGATCGTTTCATTCATAGGCATTTTATACATAATAAATTTAATATTTGAATTAGATCATTAAAATTTTAAATTTTAAATATAACTATACTCATATAATATGCGTGTTAAGAATATATAAGGATTTACGAAGTTTTTAAATAAAAAAATAATCATCTTATTTTCTGTTATTTTCTATATATATTTTTAAGGGATGTCCATTAAAACTAATAGAGATGCTTTTAGCTTTTGCAACAGTGATCTATGAATAACCACCTACGGGTTTTGCTTTATAAAGTTTCAATTATTACAAACAGATCCAAAGCTATGATTGGTTACATCTTAACCACATTTCCCAAAAACTCGATCATCCAAGCTCCAGCACAACTAACCCTACGATACGGTGGTGTCATGTGTTTAATTCCAGTTTGATACGTTGGGATATTTTCCATTGTGCTCACATAATTTTGGCTAGTGATTCCAAATTTGGCATGTTGTTTAATAAGCCGAAACTTGAATTCTTGCAAAATTTGCTATTTATTTATAGGGAAAGGAAATGATTGATAATATCAATCAACAATTAATCAACCAAGTTTGGAACAATTTACCATACATACTGATATTGTTTTTAAAAAAGGAAATTACAAAATCTCTCATTATAGTGAATCATAAGAAACAACTAGAAACAAATCAATTGGTTGGTTCAGTTAAAGAAACATATTTATTTAGAATCAAATCAATTTGTATGATTAGAGAAAGAAATAAATTTTAACCAAAATTCCAGTAACGAAAATCAAGCCACTGATACAGCTTTCTTACATTAGTACTTAGAGATCCACTAACCACTAGTAGTATATAATTATCATCAAATTATTTTCTATTTACATGTATCAAAAGTCAAAGACCAACAGGTAACTGAAGAAATGGCTTCCACCGCTTGTGGTCTCACGTTAATTTTGTTAATCGCTTCTCTAGCAAGTGGCGTTTCAGCCGCTGCTTCCACCGTTTCTACCGGAATAAAGATATTCGACGTCCGAAGCTACGGTGCTCGTGGCGACGGCAAAACAGATAATGCTATGGTAATGAACTTTTATCATTTTTTAGTCCAACATTCGTGTATGGTATCGTTGGTTAACTTTAGACACGTTTGATTTATTTATCTTGATTTCGCGTTTTTAGGCGTTTACAAGAGCGTGGAAAGACGCGTGCCAATGGAAAGGAATTTCTAGAGTATTCGTACCACTCGGAACGTTCTACCTCGGTGGTGTAACCTTCTCTGGACCATGTCAAAGTCGCATTAGTTTCATCATCAAAGGAACTTTATTAGCACCTAAAGATCCCAACGTCATTAAACAAGACACGTGGATTATTTTCAAGTACGTAGACTATCTCACTGTCTCAGGAGGTGGCACACTTGACGGACAAGGAACCAACGCTTGGCGACTCAACGACTGCAGCAGAAACCCTAACTGCCGCCCTCTACCGATGAACATTGGTTTCCAGTTCGTGAGATTCTCGAGAATCAGCCGCATCAAATCTATCAACAGCAAAATGGGTCACTTCAACTTCTTCGCCGTGGCATATATTGAGGTGACACGCGTCGGTATTAGGGCTCCTGGAGATAGCCCTAACACTGATGGGATTAAGATAGGTTCGTCGCAACACATGAAGATTCATGACGTCTATATTGGAACCGGTGACGATTGCATCGCGATCTTGTCGGGAACCAGTAACTTGGATATCTATAATGTCACGTGCGGACCGGGACATGGGATTAGTGTTGGAAGCCTTGGGAGGTTTAAAGATGAGAAGAGCGTTCATGGAATAACCGTTAGGGATTCGATCTTTACCGGTACGAGTAATGGAGTACGGATCAAGACATGGGCTCCTTCGGCATCACGGAACATTGTTTCGAGATTTGTTTTTCAGAATCTTCAGATGGTTAATGTCGGAAACCCAATCATCATAGATCAACAGTATTGTCCTAACAACCAGTGTAGCAAGAAGGTAACTTCCGCGACAAGAAATAATTTTTTTAGTTTTTAGTTTAAGATGATCTAATTTGTTTTTTATTTTATTTCTTTGTTTGCATGCAGTCTAGTTCTCAAGTTCAGATAGTAAACGTGAAGTTTAATAATATTTGGGGGACTTCGACGGACAAAGTGGCAGTGAAGTTGCAATGTAGTGAGATGGCTCCTTGCAAAGACGTTGAGCTCGCCGGAATTAACTTAGTGCACCGTGGACTTGACGGTCCAGCCACCGCTATGTGTGAGAATGTTTCTGGTTGGACACGTGGCAAGATTTCACCCCCTTCTTGCCTTTGATTCTCATTATTTTATTTTGTTATAGTTTTTTTCAGTGTAGCTTTTTATAGTTCTTTCACATTTAAAATGAAATACTTTGATTATGGCACTCGTGACACTTTTTTGGCTAAAATTTGGTATTCGTGACCTTGAGAGTCAGAGAAAGTGGACGTCATCTAATTCTCTGATCTTCGCTTCTCTAATGCTTCTTCCCAACTCCCAAGCATCCGCCGCTAAAGCTGAATTGATAAGCCTTTACTGTCACTAAACTTAAACAACAGTTTACTATCATGGTATATAAAAACACATACCACTATTCGGTGTATATATGAGCTCAAGCTGCATCGACAAAACTGAGTAAATTTGATGGGTAGATTGTTTCAACACAAAGACTTACACTAACTACTACAAAGTTTCAAAAAAAAAAAAAAACTATTAACTACTCATTATAATATTTTTGAGATTTTTTTCCTTGTAGGTTTTATACTTCTGTCAATTTCGTATTTTTTTCAGTATTTAATACTTTGATTATCGCACTCGTGGCCTAGTCAGAGAAAATGGACTTCATCCAACTTTATGATCTTCGCTTCTCTTAACTCAAACAACAGTTTACTATCATGGAATATAAAACCCATACTACTAATCAGGGTAAGTGCCTTCTAAGCTGCATCGACAGAAAAGAGTATACCTGATTGCTAGATTGATTCAACACACAAACTTACTCTAACTACTACTAGAGTTTCAACATCACATACCAACTATTTACACTAACTACTAAAGTTTCAACACACAAACTTATAATATGAAACTACCTCATGCTATAAGGTTTTAACCCAAAAGTTTAATAATTCTTCATAAAATACACAGAATCTAACACAATGAAACCAACTTCTTTACACTAGATGCTATGGTTTCCACACAAATGTTTAATTTCCACACAAAAAAAAAAAACATGTTTGATTTTTTTTACTGTTTTTTGACTAAGAAGTTTTACTATTAAGTCGACTGCCGACGAAAGAAACAAAAACTTTGACACAGACTAATTACCAAACAAGTTTAAATGGAATGTAGCTCCGTTATTATCTTTTCTTTGCTGCAAATTAATTAACGTGTACGTATCACATAATGTGTGAACCACATATTTGCTTTGCTTTTCAGTGCTTTCACCCACCACTTTCGATACATTTTCTGTATTTTGTTTTCTTCTACTGTCTTTAAAGTAAATTCAGGGTGAAGTATGTGCATACAAGTAACACTTAATCGGTTAATCTAACATAACATAGAAACTAATCTGATTGTAACTGGATACGTAATTGATTGTCTATCAATTATATAGGTGTACTAACTGAAATTAGGATCAAGTATGTTTGATACCGGAATGACGAATATTTAACATCAATAGCATCTTATATAAATATTAACAACAAAATATAATAAAGAGTATTAGGATCAAGAAACGATATATAATGCAAACTATTTACATTAATACTAGAGAATATAGTTAGTTGCACCATTTTATTCGCTTATACAGCATTGGTGACATCCGGATCGGTCCAATCCAATCATGAACTAGCTTGGACATATTATGACTGGTTTGGAGGCACTGATAAGATTCTTTTCTATATTTAAAATACTTGACCTTATACAGTATATGGTTATTGTTTCTCGATTGTGGGAAAAAAATATTTAGTATTATTAATACTATAATTTTTTGGTCAATAATTTGGTTGAAGCAAGACAAAACTAGTCCGAAATGTTGTTGAAATCAAAACATAGTTAATATGTTTTTCATAACATAACTACGGTGATAATTGCTCCAAAAAACTAAATGATTAACTCATATGATATAGAAATCTGACTGTTCCAAAAAAAAATGCATATATATATATATATAGAAATCTGTTTGTTGGCACCATAGAATTTTAAAACCTGCAAAGCTGAATTTGTTTTTTAGCGACTACTTTTTTGTGTATGTGTATTATATAGTTCCATAAGGGGATCTTTGTGAGTCCATCAGTCCATGTGAGTAGTTTCAACCTACAAAGTGATGGCCATTATCACCTATGGGCCACCACCCATGAGAGAAGGGAAAAGTTCACGTTTTGGATTACACCACCCTCTCATGCCTAGTTACATACTAATCATACCCCTTACTTGTCTAATCATATCCTAGTTACATACTAATCATATGCTAAAGTCACTTGTATCTATATGTTAGATTAAGGTCATAGATGTTGCATCGCTTAGCTAACATATATTTTTATATACACATATTGAAATAATGTATTTTAAATTGATAGGATCCCTTACAATTTTTTTAAAATGATCACATAAGTAAAGTAACATGTTGGTCGGTCTTTGATCGTTCCCCCTAATCATCAACTGATTAAAGAGGTCAAATGGAACCATTTACGTATAGCATATGCTTAATCCAATAAATGAGGTAGATAGTGCTCTTCATTGATCAGAAGATCTGATACGCAGCCGACTTTTCATTTAATTTAACTGCTAACTATGAAATTAATTGTTTTCTTGTATGATACACTTAATTATGAAATAGTCTAAACTATTTGTTCATTAAACTACTTCGGTTTATGATCTGAATTCAATTATTATATAGAAAACATCGCGAGAACGCATGTCGTGGAGAATTTTATAATCCAAGTGAAAGCAATTTGCAGCCAAAGATCCGTTGGGTCATAAGCGTTTTGGCAGTTTTTTCAGGTAAAGTCGGTTGGTCAACCGAATGCTTGCACAAGTCCATGCTATAGCCTATATGATATACTAATATAATGCATGTTAATTTGAATACAAACATTTCTGGTAGTGTATTACAATAATATCTTCCTCTCCCCTTTATATTTTTCATATATATACATGCTGCTTTTTCGATATGGTATCACATGTTTGCAAAGAAATAATTTATATAATTGAGAATTTAGTTTTATTTAAATCAAGCATTTCAAGCTAAAATTCATTATTAGTCTCAGATAATTATCATAAGTTTGGGCATTATATCCAAAGTTTATCAACAAGGTTTAGTAGGTTCAGATAAGTAAACAAATAAGCAACCATGTTACTCATAATAATGGTCTTGCGAGCCAATCATAAAGTCTGTTAGTTGCTAGTTGTTTTAATTAATGTTGATTGTTGGACCAACCGGATCCTACCTTTCAATGGATCTCAGTACATTTATAGGCACTATTCATCTATGTAACCATTTTTTTTTTTTTTTTTGCTTAAATGTAACCAAGATTTTAAGCTATACTTTTTGTTTGTCATTATATATGTACACTTTTATCCATTGGACAATAATCGGCTGAATCTTTGCGGTAAAGGTAATTTGGTTTACGCATGTGCTGCTTCCATGTGGCCACATGAATTGAACTGTATTGCATATATACGTAACATATTGTAGTTATATACATACTCTATAGTTCAAACGTCAAACTCTTCTGGTTAGTGAAAATAATATATGGTTTATTTATGCATATTGTTCAGAGTACAGCCATATAAACCAATACATTCTGGTGCTCGAGGTGGTAACTAATTAGCATACCTCTTATTTTACAACGCATAGTTTTTAAACTTAAACTGACTTAGATCCAAAACCTGATATCCACAATCCATACTTAATATTCCGGCTATATGATAAGTTTTTTTCATAAATCACGAATCAAATATTATATCTTCTAAATCAAATCTTAAACTACAATAGGTAGTTTAGTGTATAAATATGTTAATTATGAACGAAATAATTGATATATTATTTGATGCTGTATTTAGTGGACCGTGATGTATATACGATTGCTTAGTTTCAATTTTTCAAGTGGATGTTTACTCAAAAATAATGATCAAAACCAACCAACTTATAACCACTTACGTAGTTTGATATAATTGAATCTCTTGTATATTTATTTATAAGAATTTATTCTGCATAACTAAATAATTTATACGTGATATATATATATATATATATATATATATATATATATATATATATATATATATAGTTTAAATAAATCATTTTAATTTAGATATATTGCATTGATTTTATCTCCCATCTATCTCAATATAGAACTCACTAGGACATAAAACTAATCTCGATGACCTCTTAAAGCATAACAGTCCATAGTTTTTGCACATTGTGTTAAACAAAATTCACGTAATATTGTTAATTTTACTTTTGCACACAAATAATGTCATAATCTCACTTACTGACTTAAGCGCCTTTAATGCAATAAGCAAGCCGCGTGAGGGACATTTTTTTTATAAAGTGTATATCATTAGTGACTTAAATGGCGTTCGGGGCACCATATCTATGTAATCTCTAGTAAGAACGCAACAGTTTCTACTAGGGCTGGACAAAAAAACCGAAACCCAAAAATCCGAACCGAACCCGACCCGATAAAAAGGAATCCAAACCGATCTGAACCCGACATAAATACCGAATGGATCTTGTTTTACGATATTTCGGGTTATGGGTTTTATCCGAACCGAACCCGAACTTGAATGGATATCCGAAAGATCCCGAAACTTTACAATTCCAAAAAAACTTATATCATACTCAATCTAAATTTCTAATATGTTTCCAAAACACATTAATATATTATTGAGTACCTATAATAATTAGTTATGATATGAATAATTAACTCAAATATTTAGTCTAATATATAGTGTTATTTGGCTGTTACTAATGTTTATGATTGACACTACATTTGAAGTTAAGTTACAAATAAATTTGTTTTGAAGTTTAAATAATGTTGTTTTTTAAATTTTCAATATTACTTCTTACGTTTATATAATTGTTAGTTGTTATCTTTAACTTTTTATGTTTCATTATGTATGATTTTCGTTCATACAAGACTTTGGTTTATCATTAATCATGATATGTTTAGTGTTGTCACATATAGTTCAATGACAAATCTTATATTGTTGATAGATGAGTTTCATAATATTATTTAGAAGCAGAACAATATGGTTTGTAGAAGCTAAATACACAATTTAATAAAAAAAATTAAAATATAGTGAATATAATTGAGTATTTTTAGAATCGATAACCCAATAAGTATCCGAAACCGAAACTATTTCGGGTTCAACTAGATTTTGGACATGTTACTAAATCCGAACCGAACGCGATTAAACCCGAACCGAATCCGATCCGAATTTTTATAATATCCGAATGAGACCGAAATTCATGAACCCAAAAACCCGAAATCCGAATGAACCCGAACCGAAACCCGATTGGGACCCCGAATGCCCAGCCCTAGTTTCTACAAATATTTACTTTTATTTTAATCTACGGAAGTTTCAAGTCACAAAATGGGGAAAATGACACGTTTGGTACGATTAAAACGTTGGATGGTTGACAAAAAAAACCTTGGATGTGAAGGCAACAACGCGTCTTAACCAAAATTTCAGTCCCCACTTCCATTAGCCGTGGAACACCAAACCTTATTGCTTTTTAATCTCTAAATATTCACATGTTTATTATATGCATGCATGCTCATTTTTGTGATGTCCAATTTATAACATATTTTTAATTTACATACATATTTATTCTCTAACTGAATGAAGTTTCACGAAGGTTGGTAGAAACTAGAAAGAGTTGAACAGGAGATGCTCTCATATTATCTCACACCTAATTTTTAAAATTTAAATTATGATTACACTCACTTAAAACTTTAAACTAACGATTATATCTTATAGATTGCAAACGAACGTCACAATTGTTGGAATCATCTCAAACGTTATAGTATCTTATAGGCCTAATTCATAACAGAGGTGCAAATTAACATACTAAATTTTGTTTTTTTTCTCGAAAGCTTGAAAACTTATTTGAACACCTGAGTTTTTTTTTTTTAAGATTAACTTCTTGTTTACTAAGGTACCCACAGAGAGAAATAATCCGTAACATATGACTTGAGAACTTAATCAGACATAAAATATTATTAAAAAAAAATGTTAAGAACTTATGATATATTTCATCTTTAAACAACAAAAAAGGAAACTAATATTAAACTATTTTGTCTCTCACAAACAACCAAACAAAATCAGCCTCATCAGATCATACATTTAAGACACATGTAATAATGACTAGCAAAGAAGCAATAATACCCTTCTGTCCTCGTTGATATATATATAGAGAACCTCCTCTCCCTTGTTTTCGCCATATACACTCACATCTCTCTCTCATACGCAGAATATGGACAAAACACAAACTTGGTGTTGAAGAAACCCCAAAACGCAGCGTTTTACTCAGAAGAAACCATTTAACTATGGCTTCTACTTCTACTACCTTACTTCCTTCTACTTCAACCCCATTTCTTGATTGTTCTTTCTCAACTTCTTCAAGACACAATCTCCAATCTCTATCATTCTCCTCTTCACCAACACTCGGAAACAAGAAACCAAACCTCTGTTCTGTTTCTTCCTCCGTCACTAAAACCTTCTCCATCTCTTCTTCTCTCCATTCTCCGGCGACATATCAACCACCGTCTTGGAAGAAACTATGCAACGAAATAACCTCCTTAATCCCCAAAACAACGATACAGAGAACCGCCGCTACGATCTTAGACGCGGTGGAAAACGCCATGGTCTCTCACGAGCTCCGCCGTCATCCCCTACCCAAAACGGCTGACCCCGCCGTGCAAATCGCCGGAAACTTCTTCCCGGTCCCGGAGCAGCCAGTCAAGCATAATCTCCCGGTGACCGGAACAGTACCGGAGTGTTTACAAGGAGTTTACGTCAGAAACGGAGCTAATCCGCTTCACAAACCAATCTCCGGTCACCATTTATTCGACGGAGACGGTATGGTTCACGCAGTCCGGTTTAATAACGGTTCGGTTAGTTACTCTTGCCGGTTTACGGAAACAAACCGGTTTATTCAAGAGAGAGAACTCGGCCGGTCTGTTTTCCCTAAAGCGATAGGTGAGCTTCACGGACACTTGGGGATCGCTAAGTTAATGTTATTTAACGCACGTGGGCTATTCGGTTTACTTGACCCGACCCGAGGACTCGGTGTGGCTAATGCCGGTTTAGTCTATTTCAACGGTCATCTCTTAGCCATGTCCGAAGACGATTTACCATACCACGTAAAAGTCACCCAAACCGGAGATTTAGAAACTTCGGGTCGGTACGATTTCGACGGTCAGCTAAAATCAACAATGATCGCCCACCCGAAAATCGACCCGGAAACCCGCGAACTATTCGCGCTAAGCTACGACGTCGTTTCGAAGCCTTACTTAAAATACTTCAGATTCTCATCGGACGGTCAGAAATCCCGCGACGTGGAGATCCCGCTCGAGCAACCGACGATGATCCACGACTTCGCGATCACCGAGAACTTCGTGGTGGTTCCGGACCAGCAAGTGGTGTTCAGGTTACCGGAGATGATCCGCGGCGGCTCTCCGGTGGTTTACGACAAGAACAAGAAATCAAGATTCGGTGTTTTGGACAAGTACGCTGAAGACGCTTCGTCGATACGATGGATCGAAGTGGAAGACTGCTTCTGTTTCCATCTCTGGAACGCGTGGGAAGAGGCGGAGACTGACGAGGTTGTCGTGATCGGGTCATGCATGACGCCACCTGATTCGATATTCAACGAACACGACGAAACACTTCAGAGTGTTTTGTCGGAGATAAGACTAAACCTGAAAACAGGGGAATCCACGCGTCGACCGGTTATCTCCGAAAAATTAAATCTCGAGGCCGGTATGGTAAACCGAAATCTTTTAGGTAGAAAAACCCGGTTTGCTTACCTTGCTTTAACCGAACCGTGGCCTAAAGTGTCCGGTTTCGCGAAAGTGGATTTATCTACCGGAGAAGTTTATAAGTATATATACGGAGAGGGGAAATACGGAGGAGAGCCTCTGTTTATGCCAGAGGGTTCTGGTGACGTTGGAGAAGACGGTGGTTACATTATGGTGTTTGTTCACGACGAGGAGAATGTGAAATCGGAATTACAAATCATAAATGCTGTTGATTTGAAGCTTGAAGCTACGGTTACACTTCCATCGAGAGTGCCTTACGGATTCCACGGAACTTTTATTAGTAATGAAGATTTATTGAAGCAAGCTTTGTGTTAATCGCAGATTAACATTTTTAGGGTTTTTTTTTCTAATTATAAATGTTATAGTCTATATGAGAATTGTTGCCTGAGGGATTGTTGTGCATAGTCCCCGGGGTCGAATCTCTTGATTTTTTTTTTTTTTTATACGTGTATAATTTATATTTAATCTAATTAGACGATTAGTTACATTCGAGTATTAATTTGAGCATGAGTGATTCAAGTAGATGATTGTGGTTATAAAATAATTAAAAATGTTGGGAACATTATTTTTGTGTAGGCCGACTAAAATGATTTATAAAAAGTTTGTGTAATTATGTGGTATTATAAACTAAGATAATATCAGGTAAAATAGTGTGTTATTTAGCAAAATGGCAAATTTTGTACTATGCCTTAAACATGCATGGCAGTGCATGGCAGGCCTACTCTTATTTCGCTGTTCATTTTTTCTTGTTTTCTTCCAATTATTAACAATTTTATTGTTTTGTTGCAGCATTTGTCATCTAGTCACAAACTTACGGTTCGAATGTTATTCTTCTTTCTTATTAGTAGTCCGGTAAAGTAACTCAAGTGTTAATTGACATCATGAAAATGTTCGAAGCATTTTCGATCCGTGATTACATCAGTTCAAATGTTCTTGTCTTCTTGAATTGGCTTGACAACAGTTTTATTTATAGTTTTGTGAATAATATATCAAAAACATTAAAGCCAGGACTCTTTTATTTACTGTGGATTTTTGTATAAGAATGTATTTATGGATTTAATTTTCGGATCGCGTCATCTATATTTAGCATACTGGATACATCTCATACTTTTGACTTGTATCAAAAGAAATATTTTATGGTATTTTCAGTTTTCGCTAAAATCTTACTTTCTTTCAATCTTTTATCCTACTCTTATTGGTCCTGAAGTACGCATACGTTAATACTGACATTTCACAGCCAATCGATTGATTCTTCCCTTTGAACATGTATCACACTTCATAGCCACTCTTTATCTTGGGCATATTTGTATTAGTGATTTATAGTATATTTGCATATCTACATATATTTTTTTAATATTCATATCTACATATTTTGCCTATACAGATTGGTCGGGGTTCAGTTTATGTTATGGCTGTTACTCTGTATGTGAACCACCTCTTTTCCATATATGATTTATACAAATTGAAAAAATGAATCGAACAAAACTCGCAACAAATATCATCCGTAGTTAGCATATAAAATAGTATAAATTGCCAGAAATACGCTGATGTTGTCTCGGAAATTGAAACCTTAAGAATATTACACAGTACAGCAAATCATGCATGTAGAAATGAAGTAACGACTTTGTAGATAGAAGCTAAGATGCCACGTTGTACAGTATGTGAGGTCATTCGATGTTCAGGGCCGGTCCTGGGCCAAGCCGGAGGAAACATTCGCCTTGGGCCCCCAAATTTTTTGAAAAAAATTACATATATATAGGCCCCAAAAAAAAAATTTCAGGCCCCCAAATATATAAAAAAAATTTTTTTAGGTGAAACCGTTTAAAAATCGCCAAAGGCCCCTTATTTCTCAGGGCCGGCCCTGTGACGATGTTTCTAGTAAAGTCTATAGAGACATCTAGATACATGTTCCAACAATTTTAATACTATTGAAAATATCTATTGTTCCTATCTATTTATCTCCATGTATGTGTGCTTCCTTTTTTGGTCAACTGTGTACGTATCATGTTATGATAGTATACGCGTTGTAAGAAATATCGAATGCAACGCAAGCAAATCCAGGTTACTTCCAGCAATAGTTTTCTTCTTCATGACACAATCGATATGTATCTATAGTTTGAACTATTCTCATTATCAACCATGATCTGTATTCTTAACACTATTTAACCTCTCAACAAACATGATATGTGTGAAAATCCTATATTTTCTGGAAATCAAGACACAATTTAGCTAATTTGTATATGTAGTGTAGGCTTCCCAAATTTAGCTAAACTTGTTTGTTAGTGTAAATTGTAATATACTTGGGATATGTTTTGACATAAATAGTTTCATCACTAAACATATAAAGTTTTAGGTTACGATATTATCAATTTTATGTAATAACATGCATCTTAGGCAGAAGGGGATATTTATTAATTATCATTTAAATATATAATTTTAAACTATAATGTAAATCAACATATTTAGAACATAATTATATATATAAATATTATTTAAATGTAATATATTAGAACTAAAAATCAGTAAAGTATAAAAATTAGTGGATGTTGCGAAGAAACAGAGCTTGGTTTGGCCGTAGGAGTCTTGAAAGGCCAAGTGTAGTTTGTTCCAAGTTTGTTGGGGGTCCTCGTCGCGTTTAGTTCTGACGCCTATGTATCTTCTTCTGACGTTTGTTCCTTTGTAATTAAGAAAACGTCTTGCAGCTATTATTCATTAATAATAGTCAGATCGAATTATCTTAGTGTATGGTAATATAATATAGTTTAAAAATAATAATAACAATAATCCCTTATATAATAGAGGTGGATCTTGTGTTTATTATATAAATTTATAGATGAATAATTGAGAATAGTGACACAGAACTGTTTTTTAAATGTCAATCACGATACTATTCGGAAAAGTTGTATTCAGACAAAAGTACTTTTATAATTACAAATATTTAACTACGTTATAAGTTTTTAGATGTCGGACATGAAGTTTTTGAAGTAGGACTTAAGTTTTTTTTTTTAATATAATTTTGTTTTGTTAAACTCGACATATTTAGCAGTAAAATTAATAGCGCAAAATGCGTTTTCAATGTCAAATGCCGACTACCGCAATATCGCTGAGTAGGTAGGGAACATGATTTTCTTGTATTTGTCTTTATGAAATTTGTATCCTTATAAACTAATAAATCAATGGAACTGTAGTTTTCCTCACTGCAGGAATGATTTTGTCTTTTCTAACTTAAGAAGAAAAATGTAAGAAACCATCAAATAAAGTTTACCATTACAAATGATGAGATTTAACACTAACACTAGTACAAACGAATATATCTTTCGTGAAGGAAAAAAAATTCAGTTGATGAGGTATTGAGGGTTTCTAATCTTAACCAATATCTATAAATTTAAGTAGAACATTACACTTAAAACCCCATGTATATTAGAGGGAAAAAGAAAAGGTTACTATTTTAATTTTTTTCTAGTACACCTAATCAAAAGATAGGCGAGGAAGAAGACAATGTTTCAATATTGGTACATGTAGACTATACAGCAGTGGGGATAAACCTTAACGTGCTTGAGGAGCATCCCAATATGTGACTATGTGGTTACGTGTGATCTCTTTTAAAGAAATGGTCCACTTAATGCCATTGTGAGTTCGAACTTTTCACTCATCATCTAAAGAACTTTCCTCGCTCCGGCCTCTCCTTCCGCCGCCAACGAGAACACAACCGGACGCCCAATCTGTTTCCCAATTCAAATAACAAAAGTCAAGAAAAAACGAGAATGGTTACTTGTGTGCCAAGACACAGCAGTTAGTTTGTCTGGCAAGTAAACTACTGGCACTTCCCACAAGCTGAGCAACTCAACCACGTTCCTGATATTAAAAAAAAAAGAATGAACGTAGAAGCTTCGTGATTCATGTGCGAGTGACATATATAGCGTGCCATGGAGCTCACATAAAGCTGGAAAAATCTGATTCCGGGTCCTATTGAAGCAGCCTCTTCAACGCTAGAAGTAGCCTATGAAGATAATGTCAGCAACAAGAGCTTGTTTATGTTGCAACCTTCAGATTGTTAATGAAAGGAGAAGAAAGGTTCAGTTACAAACCAAGATAGTTCCAGCAGCAGGGCCAGCTCTAGCCGTAGCATACTCACCTGAACATTACAATATTTATCATAGATTAGACACCAGCATACTCGGTTTTTATTACTTACCCTCTGAATCCCAATGCAGTTTGTATTCATATTCAATCTTGCTTACATCAGGCAGAATTCCGGTTGACAAGAAAATTTCGGTTCTCATCCACAACGGTAAACCGGTCTGTGGAACAAGATCCCTTTGTCACTACATAATCACCAAAAAATATTGTATGTTTCCAGTTTCCTCTCAGCAGATAGAAATTGTCTTTTAGTTTACCAAACGCATATAGAATGATAACATAGGCCGATTATTGTATTAGGTGGCCATGTTTCAATCATGCAAGTAGCTAGTGGCCCAACATAAGAAACATATCATTTTTCTTTTCCTTAAATTATAGAAATTGTTGGGTTCTCAACTACTCTTGGGATGAAAATTTACGCACTATCTAAAAACTCTTAAATGTTGATTCTAACATAAAAGATGCAAAGGGTGATGACGCATGGAACTGACCCCAAAAATAGACAGTGCGCTTAAGACTTTATAAAGTTTTATTCTCATTTCCTTCACTTTTGAGTTTGAGTGATTCAAAACATCAGCAATGATAAAAAAAATCGTGTGAATCTCTTTTAAATGATATCAATACTATTATTTATTTATTAATTTACGTATTTTAAGTAACTGAATAAATAACGTGGGGTTTTTCATCACATGTAAGAGTTTTCAAATAAGAAACTCTTCTTACTTTCTCATATTTTTAATTAATTTTTTATTTTAAAGTAAAAATTATCAATAATGATTTTCTAAGTATCTTTTATAGTTACAAGTTACAACCAATGAAAAGAAGTAGTGAATACAAATAGAAAAGGTTGATCAATCACCAAAACTTTTGAAACCTTGATTTATCAGTCTGTATTTTCTTTCAAATGATACTAATAAAACTATTCTGTAATATGATTTACTGACCAGCTGCATATCAAAACGAGACACTATCACATGGCAAAAATATATAAATACGCCACTAGCAGTATTAAATATATCAAAACGAGACAACTAACGAAAGAAATAAAACAAAAACCACCGTTTCTTTGAGCTTCACGGATCACAACAATGGAGGACGAAGTAATTCTTCTCCACTTCTGGCCAAGCATATTCGGAATGAGAACGATGATTGCCTTGGAAGAGAAAGGAGTCAAGTACCAGTATAGAGAAGAAGAGGATGTCATGAATAACAAAACTCCCTTGCTTCTTGAGATGAATCCCGTTCACAAGAAAATCCCGGTTCTCATCCACAACGGTAAACCGGTCTGCGAATCTATCATACAAGTTCAGTACATCGACGAGATCTGGTCAGACAAGAATCCATTCCTCCCTAAAGATCCTTACCAGAGAGCTCAAGCTTTATTTTGGGCTGATTTCATCGAGAAGAAGGTAATTAACATATCTAAAAATTAGTTATAATTTGTTTATAATCAAAAAGTTAATATTAATACTCCATTTGTACCGTAAAATATATTTTTTTTTTGTAAAAAAAAGAAGGTAATTAAAAAACTGTCTAGCCTTCTAGGTTTTGCTTGTAAATTCGTATATGTGAGTATGTAATGTTATTTGGACTATATGGAACAGTTGTGTGTTTGTGGGAGGAGGGTTTGGACAACGAAAGGTGAGGAGCTAGAAGCAGCCAATAAGGAGTTTATTGAACTACTCAAGATTCTTCAGACAGAGCTTGGAGATAAACCTTACTTTGGTGGTAATAAATTTGGTTTTGTAGACATTGTCCTAATTGGATTCTATTGCTGGTTTCCTGCATACGAGAAGTTTGGTAACTTCAGCATGGAATCAGAGTGTTCGGAACTGATGGCTTGGGGTAAAAGATGCATGCAGAGAGAGAGTGTTACTAAGTCTTTGCCTGATCCAGAGAGAGTTATTGGGTACGTTTTACATCTTAAGAAGCTATATGGGCTCGAGTAAGATAAAAAAAAAAAAACTATTTAATTGCTGTTTATGTAACGTCTTAGCTCTTTGTGTTTGCTGAGTTTTCTTGTTCCTAATACTTTCAGTCTCTAAAGTGGTGGCTTGCCCTAAAAATAAGATGCTTTGTTATCAATTCATAAAACATTTTAGTGCGCCACTAGCATATATTACTCTCTCAGTTTCATATTAAATGACACAAAAGAGAATTTTTTTCGTTACAAAATAAATGTATTTTGGTTTTCAATGTAAAATTTATTAATTGTATTATATACAACTTATTTTTTTATTGATTGAAATATTATTGGTTGAAATATGATTAGATGTATAGATAATTATGTTTTATATAGAAAATATGTAAAATTAATTGTTTCCTTAATCTGTCTGAAAAAAACTAAAATGACACTTATAATAAAACAGAAAGCTTAATATAAGAGATATTATAAAGTTACTATAAACTAATGAAACAAACTAATAAAGAGAAGTTAGGTAAGCTGGCAACAATATCATTTATATTAACAAAACGTCTATTAAAATAGAATGGATGATTGGTAGAACATGCAAAAAGTACCTCAATTTATTTTCTGAAACCAGATATGATTTATTGGATAATACATGCTACCGTTATAAACAATGTAACTCCTACCCCTTCACCACATATTTGTCAAGAGAGAAATAGAGATTAGGAAGCTTCACAGATCACAAAGATGGCTGAAGAGGTGATCCTTCTGAACTTCTGGCCGAGCATGTTCGGAATGAGGACGATGATTGCATTGAAGGAGAAAGAAGTGAAGTATGAGCACAAAGAGGAAGATCTATTGAACAACAAGAGCCCCTTGCTTCTTGAGAGTAATCCTATTTACAAGAAGGTACCAGTTCTCATCCACAATGGTAAACCAATCTGTGAATCTGTCATACAAGTCCAGTACATAGACGAGATCTGGTCAGACAAGAACCCATTACTTCCTAAAGATTCTTACCAGAGAGCTCAAGCCTTGTTTTGGGCTGACTTTATTGACAAGAAGGTAACAACAGTCTTCTTCTAAGAAACTTTTGAATTCTAAGAACAATTAATGGATATTAGACAAAATAATTATTTGTTAGATTCTAGGTTTTTTTGCTTGTTAATTACTCATATGATGTTACTTGTGATGAAAGGAACAGTTGTATGTTTGTGGGAGAAAGACTTGGGCAACAAAGGGTGAAGAGCTGGAAGAAGCCAAAAAGGAGTTCATTGAAATACTAAAGACTCTTCAATCTGAACTTGGAGACAAACCTTACTTTGGTGGCGATACATTCGGGTTTGTAGACATTGTTTTGATTGGATTCTACAGTTGGTTTCCAGCATACCAGAAGTTTGGTAACTTCAGCGTCGAACCAGAGTGTTCTAAGCTGATGGATTGGGGAAAGAGGTGTATGGAGAGGGAGAGTGTAGCTACATCCTTGCCTGATCCTGAGAGAGTTGCTGGATACATTTTACAGCTCAAGAAGCGATATGGGATCGAGTAAGACAAGATAGTATCTCTGTTGTGTTTCAGCTCTTTTGTTGTGTTGTGTGCTTCTAAATAATGCAGATTATGATCTGTAAAAGTGGAGTGTTGTTCTACAACTGAGATGCTTTCTTTACTTCTTTAAATCTTAAGCTTCAACGTTGACTTCTTTGAGATCGTGAAGATACTTGTGTCATTAGTATAATGATGTAAGCAGTGGCCTAAGCATTTTCTAAAACCTAATATAAAATTACAATTCTTGTTGAATTCAAAATAAAAACATTATCTATATACCAGCGCTTAGGTTGAAAACATATTTTAGAAGAAGAATATAAAATGATGTGAAACAGCCACACACAAAGAACTTACTCAAAATCTTGATTTTACAAGACTCAGCAACAATGGTTGATGAGGTGATCCTTCTAGATTACTGGGCGAGTCCATTCGGTATGAGAGCTAGGATCGCTCTTAGAGAGAAAGGAGTTGAGTTTGAGTACAGAGAAGAGAATCTGAGAGACAAGAGTCCCTTGCTTCTCCAAATGAATCCGGTCCACAAGAAGATTCCGGTTCTGATTCATAACGGTAAACCGGTTTGTGAATCCATGAACGTGGTTCAGTACATAGACGAGGTTTGGTCCGGTAAAAACTCTTTCCTCCCTTCTGATCCATACCATAGAGCTCAAGCCAGGTTCTGGATCAATTTCATCGACACCAAGGTACAAAAATCCCTAGGCTATTTTATTATACATTCCCGTTGACCTCTAAATTTTAAAGAGTTATTATACTTTTTTTTTTTGAACAAAAAGAGTTATTATATACATAAGTAGCATAGCCACTAAACTGTTGGAAATTATATATATATATATTTACGTAGAAAAATTTATGCACCTAAATTTTAGATCGGGTCTTGTTCATAGTTTCGGTGTTATGTTAGACTCTATGGAAACTGGATGATGCAGGTGTACGAGCCAGCTGATAAGATATGGTCTACAACAGGGGAGGTACAAGAGACGGCCAAGAAAGATTTTATTGAAGCACTCAAGATTCTTGAAGCTGAGCTTGGAGATAAACCCTACTTTAGTGGAGATAACTTTGGGTTTGTAGACATTGCCATGACTGGTTATTACAGCTGGTTCAAACCATTTGAGAAGTGCGCTAACTTCAGCATCGCATCAGAGTGTCCAACACTGATGGCTTCAGCCAAGAGGTGTTTACAGAGAGAAAGCGTGGTTCACTCCATCCCTGACCCTGACGAGCTCTTTGCCTTAGCCTTTAAACTTAGGAAGGAGTATGGTGTCTGAATCTTCAATTTTTCACATTTGGTTTGTGAATTGATTCCACCTCACCTTAGTCTTAAGGTTTTGTCTCTTGCCAACAAAGAATAATAATGGTTGTGATCTGTATCATGGTATAAGTATAACCCTTGTGTTAATGTGTGTTGAGAGTAAAATTGTTTAGTGCATGTAAACCGTTTCACAAAAGTCCATTCATTGTACATAGTCGTTTCGTTTATCAAGATTCTATGTGCTGCATGAATCCAACATTTGTTTACCATAACAACTTAATAGTTGGGTTTAGCACGTCAAGTTTTTGGTTCTGGACTTGTATTGATCGTTGCGGGCCTTTGGGCTAGCAATAAGAAGAACCTTCTGGTTCAAACAAACGGTGAACCTTGGGTCCGATTGGCAGAAGGACTGTTGAGGCTTTAGAGAATTTAACAGCCCTTAAAGTTAATTTTCCCCCAATCAGACTTTTCCTAAAAGTTTGTGACTTAAAGTCTTCACAGCCCGTAACTGTTTTTTCTTCCATTTTTACGTGTGTTTTCTAACAGCCAGGGAGTCATGACTTTAAAGGATTCTGAGAAAATAAAACTTGACTTTTTTTCTTTGTTTTTTTTTCTTCTCCTCCCAAAAAAAAAATCAAAGTGCATCCGTACATCAACGTATGTTTCATTGCAAGAAATAAATTCATTAGTACGCAACTACTCTTTAATTAATCAAAATTATTTTTTACTCATAACCCAAAATAACACTCAAATTGGTAATGAGATATAATCAAAAACTTTTTCTTGATAATTGATTTTAATAAAAATATTTGTTTAGGTAAGTGATTAAAATTAATAATGAAAAGAATTATCCAAACTCTAAGAATATATATATTAAAATAAAAGATAATTATATATATTGTATTGTTATCCGAAATATCTTTTAATAAAAATTTCAAATTTCAAAACAGTAAACACATAATTCAATATTGATCAGTTATAAAATACTTTATTATATATAATAAAAAAAGAACAACATATGGGCTAGAATCCGTTAACTTTTTAATAATTCTTTTTGTTTTATTTAATAAATTGTAATCTTATTTTAAACTTAATTTTTAATAATTTTTATTTATTTAATAAATTATTAACTTATTTTCAATTTAATAAAAAATAATTTTGTTGGTTACCATTTTAAATTTTTACAATAAAGAAATAAAATATATTGTTGATAACTTTGATTGCGTTTGTGTGTTTAAACTACCCAATATATTTTATGAACTTGTATAAATAAAAAATAGGTAATACATTTTGGAAAATAAATTATAAACATATATTTATAACAGTCACAGGTTCTAAAGCTTTGAATACCAATCAGACTTTTAACTTCTTCTAAAGTAACTGTTACAGTCTTTAAAGCCAAAATCTTTACAGCCACAATTCTAAAGTCAAAGCCTAAAGCGAAAGTCATTACCAATCGGACCCCTTGTCGACCATCACCAAAACAAAGCGTAATAGATTGCACTCTTCGTTTCTCTATCATTAAATTTGAATTTCAAACAAACTTTAGTTTCGGAATATAATAAACAACCCATTTTTTCTGCGTTAATTGTCACTGAAGGCAAATATATTGTCAACCAAATAGTACAAGAGAAAAAAAGAAAGAAAGATGAGGCCACGGAGCAAGAGAAGAGAGTACGTCTTACATGGGGACTTGTACTATGATGCTTTAATTATACTAATGAGCCCCCACATTTATGTGTTTGCTTTTATCCAATTACTTTCTTTTTTGTTCTATGATAATCCACGTTTAAATAAATAATAATGCACAAAAGCTTTATTCAATTATTCAACATATAAAACAAAATAAAAATTAGTTTAAAATTTTCTTCAATTCATACTAGCACACAATAATAATTTCAAATCGATCAGCAGGAATCAACAAGATTGATCAGGTCAAACAATCTATATACATCCAGAACAAGGTCATTAGTAAAACAAAACAAAAATGTAAAAGATGAATGTGGTCTTGTACCAACCTCCTCGGAAATATAAAAAACTCCGTATAGCAGTTACTGAAATAGGTAGTTAACATGAAAAACTTGTAAATTTAATGTTTGTGATATAACGTTTCTAATTAAAATAAATTTATTGAATGATAGTACGTTTTAGTTTTACAAATATATACTTCCTGAGTAAGCTAAAAAAAAAATACAGGCTTTACCTATGCAAGAATATTTCAAACATTTTTTTGTGTTCCAAGAAATTATGAATATTTCAAACATACTTGTCCCCTAAAATGACATTTCGCCAAACCAATCTCAATAACTGCTAATCAGATGTAGAACCCAAATTTATCCCGGTTACATGTTAATCACTACTGCTAAGAACTAATCAGGCAGACATTAACAGTGCAAGAAAAAAACAAAAGGGGTAAAAGTCACGTGATAGCTGTCTGTGTCGTGATAATCACGCAGCCGTTGGATAAGTCGTTTGCTGACTTGGATGAGAGATATCGTGTGGGGTGACAAGTAGGAGATAACAAACCCATGATTAAAGGCTGTACGAATGTCGTTTTCGGTAAATACTTTAGAGTCTTTTGACCAAAATGGGCGTTGAATAACCCGACCCGTTTACCCGTAACACTTGGTATTATTATATTATTTCATCTACTGCCTATTTGGCTGCTGCTATACACTGATTTATTTTTTGAAAAATTCAACTGTTTGTATTAAAATTATTTAAGCAATTTCTCTTATGAATTAGTTTTCCATTTTTTATTTGTGTTCATACTATATAATCAAATCTTCAGATAAACTGAAAATTGAATAATTTAAAAATTGCAACAATTACAATTGGTTAAGAATAGAATATTTGTAGGTACATGTTCATTCATGTAATAACACACATTAAATAAAATAATTAAAGAGAATCCACAGATACATACAGACAAATGATTTCCTTTTCATCTTATTCTAGAAAAATCCAATTAAAGCCTAAAGAGTCGTATAGCCTACAAATCATACATTATAATCCCTTTAATAAACCATTTTGTTTTTTGTTTTCTTATATAAATAATTACAGACACAAAAAAAAAAAACATTTCCATCAGCTTCTGTCTTCTCCATTATCTCTCTCTCCCAAATCTGGCCAGAGAAATAACAAAAAACCTTATAATAGAGAGAAGAGAAGGATTCTGTTTCTTTTTTCTTGTTGTTGTTTTTGCTTATGATGGATAAGAGCTGTAATAACTCCTCCGCCGATTCCACCGTCTCAGCCTCCGCTACGAGTAGCAGCACCGGTAACAATAAAGACAATCATTACCTCAGACAACTCAACAAACTTTCTCACAAGATATCAAAACCAACCTCCTCCTCAATCTCCGCCGCCGTGAATCAAGAAACTGATCATCAACCACAAATGAATCAAATGAATCAGGGGAATCTCCACCAGCACCAACCACCTGTCTACAACATAAACAAAAACGACTTCAGAGACGTGGTCCAAAAACTAACAGGCTCCCCAGCTCACGAGCGGATCTCATCTCCACCTCAGCAACCGATTCATCACCCACCAAAGGCTCAACAACAGAGTTCGCGTCTACACAGGATCCGTCCACCTCCCTTGGCGCACGTTATCAACCGCCCTCCCACTCTGCTAAACAGCGCCGCCCCTCCGAATAACTGGAACAACGGCAGCGGAGGAGGAGGATTCGGATTCGTGCCTAGACCTAACGCCCCGCTCTCTCCCCTCCCTCCGCTCCCTCCGGTCCACGCGGCGGCGGAGTCTCCGGTGTCGTCGTACATGCGATACCTTCAGAACTCGATGATGTTCGATTCGAATCGGAAGGAGTTCTCGCCGTTGGCTCCTCTTGTGTCGCCGCGTTGGTACCAGCAGCAGCAGGAGAACGCTCCGCCGCCGTTGAACAGTCGTCCTTCGGGGATAGCGCCGGTGTCGGTTTCGGCGGCGACGCAGCAATCGTTCGGGTGTTTGAGTTCGCCTAAGTCGCCGTACGGATTGTTATCGCCGAGTTTGCTTTTGTCGCCTACGTCGGGGCAGTTAGGGTTTCCGGTGTCGCCGACGACTGTGCCGCTTCCTAGCCCTAAATAGAGAGGTTTGGTGATTTAAAGATATGGAGAAACGGCGTCGTTTTGGTCGCGACGTGAAGATGATTCACTTTGTTCTTTTTTTATTTTGTACATCATTAGTGGTGGATGAATTGTTTTCCTTTTAAAAAAAAAAAAACTTAAGTTACTTTCTTTTTTTACTTTCTTTTATTCCCATGTTTGTTCATGTTAGAAACAACGATTAGGATAAAAAGAAAGGAATACACTTTTGTTGATCATCTATTCTCTCTAAGTAGATCTAATTGCATACAACTGTTTTGTTTCTCTATTTCAAATTTGATAATGAGTGTTTTGATTAGTTCAGTTCGTCGGTAGAAAAAGCTATTGGATAGCTATACTATACACTGTTCCTTTCGTTGAATATTTTTTTTGTGCAGATGCTTTCGCTTTCATTTTCCGTTGAAACTTCAACCTTGACTTGTAACATTAACATGAGCGTAGTACCTCTTCATGATTTTATATATGAAGATCTCTAACCAGTTCCGAGTGTGTACACTATACAATAGATATTTTGAAATGTTTCTTTCACATAATTAAATTTGATCATTTATTTTCAGACCCGTTAATTGGTAAAGCAACAAGTAGCCTCCATTATAAAACTGGAACAAGATAAGAGTGACAGCTTTAATGAATAATGATCTTCAAATTGATGAGAAAACACAAAGCAGGTTCGATAGCAGACATTGAAATGGACAACAAACCAAAAGAAAAAGACAGAATAAAAAGAACAAAGAAAAGAAAATCAAGCAAAGAGATAATAAAAAGATGATTGATGGTTCGACTCGCCAGAAATAAAGATGAATGAATAATAAAAGCCTTTGGAGATAAAAGCTAAATTGGCAAGCGAACGAAAGGACATCTTAGACTTGAAGAAACATATGGACGAAACCCTAGAAACTTTTAGTAGTTCAATCAAAAAGATTGTTTACTACTACTGTTCCTCGGTTGGCTTTGGAGCTGATGCTTCCTTGATCTCCTCACCAGCATCATCATCCTAATAGTATCATCATCCACCAAACATAAGAGTTTAGACAATTAAACCGCGAGAGAAGAACAAATATTGAGAAAGGAAGAACATACCTGCATGTCGGATGTCCAGAGAGTGAGGTTGTCACGGAGAAGCTGCATGATCAAGGTGCTGTCTTTGTATGACTCTTCACCTAGAGTGTCCAACTCTGCAATCGCTTCATCAAAAGCCTTGATGATAACAATACAACAACACCAAGAAAGAACACACAGTTAAAAGTTAAAATCATATATTTACAAAGTGTTCAGATGAGCAAAAGGAAAGTGTTAATTCTCTCGAGAGATACCTGTTTGGCGAGGCTGCAGGCACGATCAGGAGAGTTAAGGATCTCGTAGTAGAACACAGAGAAGTTCAATGCCAGACCTAGACGGATCGGGTGAGTAGGAGCTAGCTCTGCATTTGCAATATCCTGTAAAGAGAGAGTCATCACATCACAACACATAACAAACAAATGATCAACATCGATACCCATGCAAAAGTCCAAAGAACTTGTTCACGCCAAGGCCTAAACATCAGTGTTGGTTTGTTTATTATTCTGTTCTTCCGGTTCTTTGGATATATAGAGATATAATAAGAATAGTATGTAGAGACCGAATATATCTATAATCCACAAATCACAGCTTAGATCTGAAACACATGCAAGCTCAAAGATCTTGTTAAAGCCAATTACTCTACACTAGGCCAAGAGTTATAAGAACAGTTCAGCTATTTATTTACACATTTTTTTCAGTTTTCGGTTTAATTTCGTTTTTTAATGTAATATAAGAACCGTTCTGCTATTTATATAATAGCCATAAATCCACGAATCGCTATTTAGATTTGAAACCAAGGCAAGCTCAAAAATCTTGTTCAAACCCAATTACTCTACAGTAAACTAATACATTTCATTTCCGGTTCAGTTTTCCAGTTTAAATTCTTTAGAATCACAGCTTAAATCTTTGCAGTGTTCTAAAAATCGGTGTAGGCAGGTGTCCGCTTAGTCGGCAAATCGGATATGAGCAAAATGCTTAGTCGGCAAATCGGATATGAACGAAATGATTTTTCCAAACGAATTTATCCCGTCCAACTAACCAATAATCCTCTATAAAACTGCCTAAACCCCGCCTAGCAAAATTTTAAAACATTGGATCTGGAGATAACTACCTGAGCAGCCTTATAAGCAGAGAGAGTATGTTCAGCAGCATCTTTCCTCTCCTGACCAGTCTTAAACTCAGCCAAATACCTATGATAATCCCCTTTCATCTTCAAATAAAACACCTTCGAATCCCCACTCCCTGCCGCAGGCACCAGCCTCTCATCGAGAAGCTTCAGTATCCCGTCGCAGATCCCCGAGAGCTCCGTCTCGATCTTCCCCCTGTAATCACGGATCGCCTTCACGTGGTCCTCGTTGCCGCGGCTCTCCTCCTTCTGCTCGATCGAGGAGATGATGCGCCACGAGGCGCGGCGAGCGCCGATCACGTTTTTGTAAGCCACGGAGAGGAGGTTACGCTCCTCGACGGTGAGTTCGTCGCCGTCCACGGAGGCGGAGACTTTCTCCATGAACTCGACCATCTCCTCGTACCGCTCGGCTTGCTCCGCGAGCTTGGCCATGTACACGAACTCCTCACGCGCCGAAACCGCCATTTTTTTTTTTTTGTTTGTTGTTGGCTCTTTGGGAGATCTGAGATCTGATTGGTTTTTGAATCGGTGAGGGGATGAATGAATGATTGTTTGTGTGTGTTGTGTTTAATGAGGGGATGCGATAAATGCGGTTTAAGAGGACGAGAGTGAAATTTGGAACCGAGATTGAATGTGGGCCGTTGGATTCGTTCTGTTCTAATGCGGGAGGTCCCGGCTTTTTAAAGGGGGTTTTTTTAAAGGCTTTGTTTGAATTCTATCTTACTCGTTTTTACCTAAAAATACAAAAATAATAGTAATCTTGTATTTTCTATGTTTACAAATAATATATTTTCAGAGTTTTAAATAAATTAGTAAGCTATATTTTATTATTATTATTTTCAAAAAATTTATATCAATAGTAAGTAAGAAATTTATATTACTACATGAATTATTTTCCACCACCCCAATGGAATTTTAGCTAAGATATTAGTTTTTCTGTACTTGTAATTTGTAAATATAGTATATCTCCTTATTTTTTTATAAAACGAAATGGTTATTAGATTTATCAGAAATAATACAATAATGGAAGCAAGTTGGGTTATCAAAAATGGAGACAGCTAAAAGGAACACATGTGTTGTGAGCATGTCAGGGGATCCAAAGGAAGGACTCTTTCTTGTCCAACTCATCTTTTTCACATTTTAAATTTATTTACATGGTATTTCATGACTACCACTTCTAAAACTTTACTTGGAACATTTGAAACTTGGATTATGTGAATATTTATTGACTTTCTCCAAATCTATAGATATTATTATTACTACATAAGCAATTTCCAATGTTTTCTTTTGAAATAATTTACTCTCTCCGTTTCAAAATATATGTCATTCTATCCTTATTTTTGTGTCACAAATTAAATGTCGTTTTAAAGTTTTGAGGCAAAATTTATTAGTTTTATATAATATTTTATTTTTTTATTAGTTGAAAAATGGTTAGGTTTATCTTGGAAATATATAAAATTAAATATTTCTTTAATCTATGTGCAAAAACCTAGAATGACAAATAAAATGAAACGGATGGAGTGTTTGCTTATTGTGATGATGTTTTGAAATAATAGTATTCTGTTATCGAACTCATGCCTCACCCAAATAATTGATCAATACTATTTACGGGTTTACTCGGCAGCTATTTTGTGAGTAGGTTTCCTAAAATAGAATAACATTTGTTTTATCCTTCACAGTTTTGTTTATCATATATTCATCCAATACTCATCCATGAACAAACGCATGATTATGTTCTTGCTTCTTCCTTAAGTTGTTTCAACTTTATTAGTTTTTATTATGGAACATTGTATTGATAATGTCTTTGCCCAATCGAATGTATAGTTCTATGTGATAGTACATGTTTCATGCCTTGGAAAAAAACATGCACGAGTCTTGACAAGTCGGCATGGTTAAACGGTATTGCACGTTAATATAATACATAGGCTCTGGATGTATAAAGTTTCACTCAGAATATTTTAACTTGGGCTCTCATTTTCTTTATAATGGAGTGTTAGATAATTTTTGGAGAAAATAGTAGTTCAAAACTGAACAAAATAGACACATTTGTCACCTGTCAAACTCTCCATCAATCCTTACTCACAAAATGAAGTCAGAAGCGGATTCCCAAGAATTTAAACGCTTTGCAATGTTATTACATCACTTCCTGAAATTCCGTCGAAAGTACCTCCAAAAGTTTTTCCCTTGCTGTATAATTTAATAGGCTCTTCCATCATCTGACAAGAACAGAGAAGATCTGTCTCGGTTTCTCTTCCCTCTCTCACATTCTCTTATAGATACACATACACACGTGTGTTTCGTTAAAGTTCTTTACACCTTGATTGTAAATGCAGCGCTTATAAAATTGTAAACGCATTCAGTTTGGTATATGCAATATAAATCTTTATTGGTTGCAAAAGAGGATCAGTACGAGTTAAGTAGACTCCAAACAGTGAGCTCAACCTGTTCCCATGATTCAGCTGTCCGAAGTTCGTCCCAGATACTGAACATTGCACCCAACACATTGTCTTCATGTAATAAACAATAACACCTGCAAACCACCAATCAAAGTGTTACATATACAAGACAAGAAAGCTTGAATGCTAATTTTGTCTTTTATTAACTTACATTGTACGGTAAGAAGGAGAGAGTACTTTCTTCCTCGTACTGTCTGCTGCCGCCGACTTACTTCTGATTAAAGGAAGGCCGTAGCTTTCTAGAAGCTTCTTGAAAAGATCAGTGTCCCCTCTAAACACGTCCAAGTAGATTGGTATCAAGTCGTAGATGGGATCCCCTGCAATTTTCCTCACTCTTTCAGTAAACTCTCCACATTTGCAGTTTGATCTCATTCAGATTATGGATATCATTGAGTAAAAATGTACCTATGGATAAATCGCTGAAGTCAAGAATATGACCGGGACGCCATGAATTGTGTTGACCATCAACCGAATCATCATCTGCGTATGGTTCCATGTGAATGTTGTCGTCCATGACGTCCGAGTGTATCCACGTACACGGCTTGGTTTCATCTCCAACATCTGTGTCCTATGATCCCAAAAAAGGTTATGTTAATTCTCATACCTTTGGCAGGTATAAATATAGATAGATAAGAGAAGTAACCTTGAACATATGGAGCAAATCTACAAAAAACTCATCAGGAATGTATTCGTCTATTTTGTTCATCAGAGCCCGAGGAATCGGATTTCCCCTGAAACGATAATATCATATCAAATAGTGAGCTTTTTCCTTAGAAAGATCAAATGGAAACAGAGTCATGAGAAGCATACCAGTTTTCCAGACGATTAGTGACGTCCTTCTTCTTCTGGCATAGAGAATCGACAAAAACTTTCCATTCTGGTGGAATCTTCAGCTCCTCATGAACATCCAACAACTCAGGACGTGTGACTGGCGGGTATGGAAGTAGATGAAGGTTGCGTAGTTGTTGTCCTAAAAAAGTAGCCAAGTTCTGAGCGTCGTTCCATGTCAGGTCATCTCTTCTGCAAGTAACAGCTTCAAGTTAAATATCATGCATTTGCTTCAAAGATGAGCCCTGCGGAGAAAGAAAGCACTCACAATTGGGCAAATATCTTCCCTTTGCATCTTTGTGTTATAATATATGGCCAAACATGTGAACTCAATGAACCAAAAGAATCTGTTGCTGGCGGCTTCCCTTGGTTTCTATGTTGAAGTAGCGTTTTGTTCCAAATACCAAATGGGAACTCGCTGTTATACATTGATGCATCAAAATGAAGATTGGAGCTAGTGATAATCTCTGGGATTCTCTTGCCATCCCAAGGGGCAACTTTGTAAGATCCGTTTTCCAAGTAAAGAATCCCGCTGGCTAGAACATCAGGGATATGGCTTTTCAAAGAAGAATTAGCGCGGCCAAGAATGTCATAAAATTCTAGCTGCAGAAAAAAAACAAAGAGTTAACAATTGTAACAGATGCACAAGGAGTGCAAAATTTATTGTAGAAAGATTTACTTGCCTCAGTGCCAAGACCGTACATAGACTGTTCCAGCCCTCCTTCGACAAACAGTTTTACCGCGTAGTCGGAAAACAGATAAACCTAACAGAAAATGATAAAAGAAGTAAGAACAAGCAGGTTAAATAACTTTTGAGCGAAGGTTTTCTAAGAGAGAAAAAGATTCACTCACTGGATTACTGCCAGTTCCAACGGGAAGCTTTTCATCTTCGGTAACCGACGGCAAGTTGTGGAAAGTACATACTTCCCCTAGACATCGCAACCATTTCTCAGCATTTAAAGCAATGCATGCTCCCTGATATGAAAGCACAAATACTTGATTATGCAGAAATTTTTTAAATCTATAAACTAAATCTTCATAAGAGTAAGAAACTAGGAATTACCTTCCATATCAGTTCTCTTAACTCCGGCTTCAGAACCCAAAGCTTGGATAGCCAGCCTCTCATTTCTCGTTGACCGACAGAGTTCCCCATAGACCACGGGAAGTTGTAATGGTCTCTTTCTTTATCAAGAAACTTCGAAAGGAAATCTATATCATAAGAGAATCCATTCTTCCACATAGTGTATCTCTTTGATACTCCATTATCATCCCCTTCGTGGTTTTCAGTCTCTCCTACTCCGTTCATCCGTACCCTCTTCTCTTTCCTGGTAAGGTCAGAATAGCTCAAAGTATTGTCGTCCTCATCGTATGGTTCTTCTTCCATCTCTTCAGAATTTCCATCATCAAGAGCAAGAAGCCCAGCACGACACACCCCTTTGTGCTGGTACCCAGGTGCCATATCCAAACACACGAACCCAAAGTTTTCTTTGTTCACAAAATTCTGGGTAACAGCCACTGTTGGTTCAAGATTGAGGATACAGTGCCACCAACCACTTGGAACATAAATCGTTTCACCAGGTAGTAGTGTGCACTCAATCGGTTTGTCTTCGTCGGCTAGTAGTGGATAATAGTCTAACCACCACTGTGCATTGGATCGAAATCTATTATCAGGATACATTAAAGATGAAACGATCACGTCAGTGCTTGAACAGTTCAACATTATACCTGCAGAGATGAGGGGGTGTCGATGCTGACGTCACCGTCATCTTCATTTACATGCACTGTAACACCTAGAGGCACTTTTCCAGGGGGATACAACGCCCACCTATATAAAATACAATGACGTCATCCTCAATATACAGTACAACTTAATTCCAGGGAAGCAATGGAGAAAAATATTGCGGGAGGTAAGAACTTAGAGAACAAAGAGTAAGAGACTCTTAAATAGCGAGCTGGATCAGGGGTCCCTTGGCCCTATGAGACTTGATAACTACAGTGTCTATTATCCCGTAAGATAAAAAAATAACTTACTAAATGAAAAACTAAATGCAATATTTGATTTAAGTTCAAACAACAAGCTTGGATGCTCCTGTTCAATTCTACATTGGTGTCTTAATTTGTATGTAGGGATCTAATATATAAGTTAGCAAACAAGTCTGCTAAGAATTATAAAAAGGAGCTAACCTTTTCCGACCGCAAAGCAAGGTGTTCCAGGCGCTGGTAAGAGCAGGATCAACATGCCAAGATGCACCAGACCTCTCTGGACCAACTACAAGCCATCTGTATGATGGACGGTTCTCTTTGTCTAAGATCTCAAACCAATCTTCTTGAAACAAATAAGGCACACTATAGTC